CTAGTTTATCACTGCTAAATTAGGGACGGGTAGCGTAGATAGACCTCGTGTGACTTTGCGCGAAATTCAAAAGAAAACCAAAACCAAGAAAGATTGCGCTCATACTTGGTACGCATATCCCCCTAGTGATGTAAAAAGAAACTATGATTATGCGGAAACAAAAGATGTTGTTTGCACCATGGCATATCACGTTCCATTTCCTATACTTTTTTCTTTTGTACAGATTTTTTATGTTATATGTTCTTATTACACAGCTTGCGTGTGTCAAGAAAGAAATGTTTTAAGTAAACACGGAAAGAGGAGGCACCCAAGTCTTGGCGACCGTTCCTGAGTAACTGTTTCCTAAGCGACCATCTGAATCAAAATCCAATTTCACTAGCAAGAGCGCACATCTACGGAAAAGTGCCTTGACGTGCACTGCTTAAATATTTGACGGAAATCATTGGATATTTTTTTCTTTCTTGAAATAAAAGTAATATAGCGCTGACTGTATAAATACAAAATAAACTACTAACAATCCAGACACAGAATTATGGCTAACTTTTAAACAAAGCGATTTATGACAGTGCCCTTAATTTAAGCAGAAAAAAAACTTTTTGTTTGTTTTAGAGCAAAGCCGCTTTGGGTCAGCTGTCCACTGCGGGAATCGAACCCCAGGTTTTTGCGTTGTAAGTTCGTAAGCATACGAGAATCCAGTAGAGATAAGGAATACAAATAAGGGATAACTTCACTCGAGAATCCAGTAAAGATAAGGAATACAAATACAACTAAACTAACTAAACTAGTAAATCTGTGTATATTATGTGCAGTAATGGTTTGCTTGTTATTAAGCACAAAGCTGCACAATAGGTTATCTGTGCCGTGTCCACCACGAGTTTCATGACCCGATTTTCAGCGTTATAAGCCCCCGAGTTACTTACCCGATGATGGCATCTCTTTGTTGAAAGGTAATACATTTGTAATAACGTTTTCTTCATTTCCCATTCAAGCTGTTTTCAAACTATATTGTCTGAAAATGGGTTTCTTGTCATAAAATGTAGGTCTAGATTTCTTGTCATATTTTTTTGTGTCCACCACTACTTTGGATAAGCCTAGGTTCAAGGTTATTTTAATGTTTTTACGTCTCCCGGGGGGGGGGGGGCTTCACTCGAGAATCCAGTAAAGATAAGGAATACAAATAAGGGATAACTTCACTCAAGGAATACAAATAAGGGATAAAAGGAATGCAAATAAGGGATAACTTCATTCTAGAATCCAGTAAATATAAGGAATACAAATAAGGGATGACTTCACTCCAGAATCCAGTAGAGATAAGGAATGCAACTTCATTCTAGAATCCAGTAGAGATAAGGAATACAAATAAGGGATAAATCTCTACTGGATTCTGAGGTAACTTATCCCTTATTTGTATTCCTTATCTCTACTGGATTCTGGAGGTAACTTATCCCTTGTTTGAGTTATTTATCTTTATCGCAGTCCGACACGATAACCACTAGGACACGCCCAGTCCTTTATATTCATCAAAACATATACTGATTCAATACATCGATTTATCAAAAGTCTTGTTTTTGTGACCTCGGAAGTTTTACTGTGTCGTTTTCTGTCACTGAAATGGCGAAGAGTAAAGTACGCCACACGGATTGAACCTCAGTACACGTTAGCCTCGTTGTTTTTAACGCATTTCGTTAATGATATGTTTATTTTATTCCTGTCTTGATATGGCCTTTACTACGCCATATTATTTTTAATTAAAAAAATGTCCATAGGTGGAGCAAACATTAAAAATAATGCCCATAAAATAGGTGAAACAACTCCTTAACCATGTAGTAGTCCTGTTCAGATCTTTTACGATTTTAACGTCTGTAATTCTTAACGTTCCAAGTTAGGTATGCTGAATTCAGGTTAAGTTGCTAACTGTGTTTAAGTGGTATCCTGCCCTGTAAAGGACTGGCCCTAATTGAACTCCGTTTTTTTCTCCAAACTGAATAGAATCTTTGATCAAAACTTTATCTTACTAAACACTTTAATAGATGATAAACGGGGATCCAATTTGATTTCTTTATGCAACGTTTTCGGTGATTTATTTTAACCTCCATCACCGCTAAATTCGTGTTAAAGAAGTCAAACTTATTTCCTCTTTGTTTACCCAGTATTTAATTAACTAGTAATCAAATGAATATATGTGTATATATTATGAGTAGTTTGGAACTTTCAGATCATAGATAAAACCTTACATACTCGTCAGTTGTTAAATTTACATACATGTTAATAAAACCGTGGTAAGTCTGCGGGTTTCGATACCCATGGTGGACAGAGCACAGATAGCCCTTCGTGCTTTACAACAACCAAATACAACCGTTAGTTTTGTTTACATTGTGGTTTACCTCACGTGGCATGATAAAGCCTTTACTTCCATCCCTAAAAATGTCAGTTTTGACATACGACTTTTATAGCCTTTTTTCCTATATCTTAAAGTGTAAATAATTTTTCGTAATGTTTTACGTTTAGCCCTAAAACCCACAGTTTCAACGCATTACTTTATACCGGTGGAGAAAGTCTGTAATTATTTCCTTAAAAAATCCGCACTATCTCATGGTGAAACCTTTATCTACCACATTGCAACAAAAATATTTACAATTTTGTTTTTAAAGAACGGTCAAAGTCTATGAAATATTTTTCATTAGTAGCAGATCACATGTAGTGTGGCTTTTAAAATAGGTATCAGAAAAAAATAGATCTATTACCAGGCTTGTGTGGCTTTTAAAATAGGTATCAGAAAAAAAATAGATCTATTACCCGGCTGTTGAAATTCGTTAGTTTCGGTTCCGTGATGTGCTGCTTTATTACTGGTCAGCTGCTGAATGCGTCGTATCACTTGATGCATGTGTTGTTAAAGACGTATTCATCAGAGTTTTTCTATTTTTGTTGTCATACATTTCACATTATTCTTGTTGTTGATACTTTCTTCACATTATACTTATTAGTGACGCATTCAACACATAATACTGTTTATTGATACATTCTTTACACTATATTTTTAGTGACACATTATTTACATTATACTTATTAGTGACACATTCAGCACATTATACTTGTTATTGATACTTTCTTCACACTATACTATTTAGTGACACATCTAACACATTATACTTGTTATTGATACGTTCTTCACACTATACTATTTAGTGACACATCTAACACATTATACTTGTTATTGATACGTTCTTCACATTATACTATTTAGTGACACATTCAGCACATTATACTTGTTATTGATACGTTCTTCACATTATACTTTTTAGTGACACATTATTTACATTATACTTACTAGTGACACATTCAGCACATTATACTTGTTATTGATACTTTCTTCACACTATACTATTTAGTGACACATCTAACACATTATACTTGTTATTGATACGTTCTTCACACTATACTATTTAGTGACACATCTAACACATTATACTTGTTATTGATACGTTCTTTACACTATACTTATTAGTGACACATTATTTACATTATAATTGTTCGTGACACATTTATTATGGTATGATTGTTGTATTTGATAGAATCACATTATTATGTTTGTTTACAGTCCGCCTAACATAAAGTAATTCACATGTCGATACAATAAGTAAGAGAAGGTAATCGCTCTCTGCAGTATGAACATTTATCACCAATGCTGTCTTCATCAATCTCATCACATTCGATTCTATACAAGGTAGAAGTAATAAAGTAATTCCACGAATTGTTTAAAGAAACTGGGCAGTAGGAATTATGTTCTGCCATCAGTTAGAAAAGAGTAGGGTTTGTTTTGTAGTTGCTAAAGTTCGTAAAATTGGCAGGTGTTATCAACTATTTTTGTTGTTGTTTTTGATTACGGATCATCACACCAAAATATGTTACAAAACGTCGCCTGTAAGTGTAACAAAACATATACTTTTACTTTTACATATACTTTTTTTAGTGAGTGTAAAACATGTAAATACACCATTTTGATTTTCGATACCTCACTACTATAATGGCTTGGT